AACATGCTGCATATATAACAAATAAATAAAACCTGAAAATATAAGGACGAATTTGACAACTGATTCAACATCAGTAAACTGAACAAGAGATCTCTGAAGTCTTCAATAAATAGTAACTATTAAGATACTACTTGCTCTAAATTTTTTTTAATTTTTTTATTATGTATACAATATTCTGTCTGTGTGTATGTCTGCAGGCCAGAAGAGGGCACCAGACCTCATTACAGATGGTTGTGAGCCACCATGTGGTTGCTGGGAATTGAACTCAGGACCTTTGGAAGAGCAGGCAATGCTCTTAACCACTGAGCCATCTTTCCAGCCCCCTTGCTCTAAATTATTGATTTAAATCCTTAAAGCCACCCCCACTTTGGGGTGTATATATGTGTATACATTTTAAATACAGGATATCTTTGTGCAGCCCTGGCTGTCCTGGAACTTACTCTGTAGACCAGGGAGCCCTTGAACTAGATCTGCCTCCCCAGGGCTGGGATTAAAGTCATGTGCCACCACTACCTAGCTACAAAGCCTGCCTTTAAAAAGAAAAATTGACAAGTGGATCCTAAAAATTACACAAAATCAGAAAGAACCTCAAGCAGCCAAAAATAACTTTTGAAAAGCAGAACGAACTCCAGGGATTTATGCTACCAGATTTCAAGATGTGCTGTGCTACAGTAATTACGGTAACAAGATGTGCTGTGCTACAATAATTACGGTAACAAGTGTGTGATACGCAGGACAGGATGGCAGCAGAGACACAGAGTGACTGACTGCTTAGCCAGGGTGCACTGGATGGTAAGGGATTCCCAACAGCTGCAAGGCAGCTATCTGGAAAAAATGGAGAAGGCCACATACAAACTGAGGAGCCTGGAGCCTTACTGTCCACCATCTACTATCTCTAAACGCAAGAGCTACAGCTGTGAAACTAACGCAATAATTCAGAGAAACTGCCTAGTCTAACAGTGCCACTTAGGGGTACAGTCCACCATGGCCAGACAGCTCTGAGCTCAGCACAAAATGAAAGACTCCCTTCCCCCAGCAGGACGGCCTATTCTGCCTGAGCCTGGATGCCTGACTTCTCTTAAGTGTGACCTTTGACACAGTGCCCTGAAAATGCTTTCCCCCTGCCACCCATATATTGAGTGCTATGCTCCCATCTGTATGACGGAACCATGCTAAATGCACGAAAGCATACGCATTAAGTGATTCCCTCCCTCTGGAATAGTGCTGAGCTGTCTTGCCGTAGCTGATGCCACAGGTTCACAGCCATTCGCACCGTGCTCCACGTTTCTGCTCCCTCTTTCCCTGTGAGCCGGTGGCCAAAGACCCCGGAGGAAGAGGTACCATAACTAACAATCACCAGCATTTGGAAAAAATGAAGTACGTACCATTTCTTGGTCTCTTTACCATGGAAGACTTCCTGGGAAGATTTAACCCTTTAGTGGTAATTACTTGTTTAAGGCCCACAGGACTTGAATTTTCTGTCAACCGAGGAGCATGGGAAACACCATTCGCCTCACGTCTAGGGCAATAGTCTCTGTGCCAAATGCTATTAGGTGACTTCTGACACACTTGGTCATTCCAGCTATGACTTCTTGAGTGGACAGGCTAGACAAGAACAAGGAGGAAGGTTAGAGTAGTGTTTAATTACTGTTCAAAAGAAAGCTTTAGAGCATGGTCTGATGGTGCAGGCCTGTGACCCGAGCTACCCGGGGGGGTTGAGGGAGGATCAGGCTCAGTCTGGGAGACTTGGTGAGTGATTTCAAATTAAAAGGGGCTCAGTGGTGGAGTGTCTGACTAGCAAGTGTGAGGCCTAGAGGGAGCTGGGAGGGAGAGGAAGGGAGAGTGAGGGAGGAAGAAAGCGAGAGAAGTCTGTGCTTTAGTAATTTTTTACTTTCTTCTATTAGTACAAGCTGTTTAGGCTCACTCATAAGCTAGTATTTCATGAGCACCCTGCACGTGTCTGACCTCTTCAGTGCCGCCTTCCTTACATGTACTGTTTATGATGCCATGTCTTGGCAGTTTGCACCGGCTCTTCTGTGCATGTTTACTTCTTCTGTCAGTTCTTTTAGTTACTATGATTTCTTCTGTTCTTTGAGAATTCATGCATGTTATACAGTGTTATGTCTTTGGTGCACAGAACCTGTTTATCTCATTGTTTGGGGAATCATGACTGAGATCGCAGTCTGGAAAGTGTACTGGCTGTGCTGTCTTTACACATTTGGATTAGCAAATCAATTTCCAGCAGCCAGGAGGCAGGGGCAGGTGGATCTCTGAGTCTGAGGCCATCCTTGTAGACATAGTGAGTTTCAGGACACTCTGCAAAGGACTGAATACAGAAATACTTCACAGCTGCTGGGCAAAGGAAGACCTGCCTCAAAGTTCTTGAGACAAAACAAAAATGTGCTTTTATAGTTTTTAAGATGTTACCATAGTGTCGGGACTGTAGTTGTCAATCTGCTCCAAAGTATTTACATCTCTGTTTCCAAGTGCTATCTGCAGAGCCACAGAATCGTCGACATACCTGGTTGCTAAGGCTAAGGAGAAGGCCCTTATTAACAAGCAATCGAATCATACGGCACTAAGAAATGAAAATGCTGTTCATTACCACAGAGAATCTTCAAGGTTCAGGACGGACATAGATCCTACCCACTGTTCACATCAGCATCCAAGGACAGGCAGGGTTGCTGGCCTGGTTGCCTGTAGAAGCTGTCCGTCTTCTTGAAGAGGAACCCGAGTCAATTTCTCCCTTTCCAGAGAGATATGGGGAAAGTCCTGGCTGCTCCCTCAGTGATTCAAAATTCTGCAGCTGCCTGAGTAATGGTGACCAGAAACACTCCTGAGGAACCGGGCTTGCCTCAGTCTCGGGTGACACTTTTGACGTGCTTGCTAAGAGCAAGGAACCTGGCTCCAGTGCGGTCAATTCACTTGCTATAGACGAGCCTTGGGTTCATATTCAACAACTTGACTCTTTACTAGTGTGGTTTTCTGAAGTTGAGTAAAATATGACAATCTACACTATAAAATATAAGACCGATTTTCGAGATTTTCCTTCTTTTTCACTAAAGTCTCACTAGAAATATTGTGCCATCACCAATAACGCTAACAGAGTAAATGAAAAACTCCACCACCTGGCTCAGAAAGGATACTGCCCAGCATAACTCAGGGTGTCTGGGTTAACGTCATCTCCATAAGCATTCAGAGGAACCAGCTTCCTTTGGATGGGGTCGAACACCAGCTGGTAGAGGAAAGTATTGTTGGCTCGGATAAATCCTGTGATGTAATCCTCCGGCACCGTTATATTCATCTTGAGGTAATGCCCAATTTTCTTGATAACCTAACAGCAGATGTAAAAATATTTCATGAAAAGCTGAAGAGGAGGGAGTGTTGATCCCATACCTGACACTGGAGAGTGAGGCAAAAATCAACTGATTTTACCCAAACCAAAAACACTTTTACCAGTAAACACAGCCACACCACATCACCCAAAACTCGGTCTCACACCCAGTTTTACACTGTTCATCCAAAATGCAAAATATCTGGCTTATGTCAAGCATACATTTCTAGAAACATTGTTCTTATCCTTTTGGCAACAGATGCTGAGAACAGGGACCCTGCAGAGATAAGTCCCTTTTGTCAGTAAGGACAGGACCTCACCTAAAAGTTTCTAGAGCCCCCTGGGTAAAAGACAGGCCAGGCAAGAGAGAGGGGGAAAGAACTGAAAAATTTTGAGAAGTCACGGGCCATAATGAGTCTGAAGAAAGACAACTCTCTACAGATATAATGCAGCATACTTTAAAGAAAAGGGGAATTAAAGTTAATACTTCACAATTGTTTCCTTACAATTTATATAGCAATGCAGCCCTTGGTTCTAAAGGTCCAGATTAGGGAACTTTAGATTTAGAAATCTGGGATAGAGTAGGAAAGGATATTCAAGCTTGGGACCAGAAAACATGTTAACTGAATCTTTTTCTTATTGGAATATTGTGAGACAAGCTTTGGATATTAATAAGCCTCCAGAAATAGGCACCTCACCGTTCCCCTATGGTGGTCCCTGTTGGACACATATTTCACACCCCATTTTTTCATGTAACTTCATGGGATGCCCTAACATGAAAGCAGTGACTACTAATACTACCGATCCAATGGGAGCAGAAGGGACATTCTCACATTCGACACAAAACCAGCGCTAATGTTTCTTTTGGACATAGCGAGAGACCTCCTATGTGTTTTACTATGCAAAACAAGAAATGTGCCTCCAGGATGCATACATTTTATGCCTAGATATTTGTTTGTTGATTCTCCTAGTATACCTGGAAAATGAGACATCTGTGTTCTACCAGCTCACCGTTTGTAACACCTATGTGAATGTATGAGTCGCCACCTCCTGACATTCCTCCTCATAGACAATGGGTGGGATTTGGGAGCATATTAGCAGAACTATGGGGTGTCCTTATCAGTACGGCTGTGCTTTTCCTAATCAAGGAGTTGCTATTCCAATTCCTCTCACACCTTTACAAATTTACAACTGGTCTATATTCAAAAAAAAAAAAAAAGCAAGAACTGAATAGTTCAGTTCAAGGCCATCCTTGGCTACGCAGCAAGTTCAAGGGCCTGGTATTCAAAACAACTTTTCTCAAAAATATTTTAATGGGGGGGGTGTGGATTGATGCAGGAGGGGTTAATAGTGCTGCTTTGTGATATTTGTTAATAGAAAGAGCGTTTTGCTAACAGAATATTAAATTAATATTCAAATTTTTGTTTGAATTTCTAATACCGTATATTGAGAGCTATAATCTATATAATCAAAAGCTATTATCACACAGAACTTTTCAGAGTACAAAGATCCTTAGACCAGAAGGCTTGAGAACCACTCCCAGGTGCTAGGATCCAGAAGTCAAGAATTCTCATGTCTAGACACCTTTTCTCTTTGGTAACATGCACAGGCTATTGATTAAAATTCAAAACCCATTCTGAATTTGAAGTCCCCCTGCCATCTGACTGCGCCTTCATGGAGCGAGGGTCCCTCCTACCTTGACGATATCCGGGTTATTGGCCAGCCTCAGCACTTTGCAGGCCTTTGCTAAGCCGATCCCACGCAGGGAGGAGAGGTAGTCGCAGCCTGACAGGATACACATGTACCGGAACTTCTCCTCCGTGAACACGTCCCCAAGCTGCTTGCACAAGCCCAGGCGGGCCTGGTCCACTTCCAGTCCATTTCCAAACTGGTCCATTTTCAAAACCACCTTCACACAGGGAAACGGTGAGTACCCGGAAAGGCCACGTTGCTATTGTTATCTAGATCACACCAATTCTAAGGAGTCACTCTCGCTCCAGAACACACGCTTTTCTTCTGACCGCCTTCTACATTCTAAAGTGGCCGGCCTTCTAGTACTGTCATTGGGGCAATATGTGCTTATTGCAGGAAATTTAAAAATCCTGAAATTGTCCACACCCCGTTTATCAATCACCCGAGTTAACATTCTGAGGAGTATCCTAGCAATCTATGAAGATGCACAATCATATTATAACTGTTATCAAAAGGGAACCACCTATGATTTTGTATCTTAACTCCCCCTTTAATAGACCATTATAAAGTTTACCATTAAATTTGTTAATACATTATTTCTAAATAATGGAATAATATCCCTGTCACTGATAAGTTAGTTTACAAAACCTAATAAAATGTAAGGTGTGTGTTATTAATATTAAAAAGTAAAACTAGCCAGGTCTGGTAATACAGGTTGGGTGGAAGGAGAACCTGGAGTTCGAGGCCTGCCCAGGCTATTGAGTTAAGTCCGAGCCCAGGCTGAGCAGTTTAGGGAGATTCAGCCAGAGTGTACTGACGAGGGCTGTGGCCCAGTGGTAAAGACTGCTTGTCTAGCGGTCAGGTATAACCACACACACAAAGTCAACTAAAGACAAGCTAAACACTACAGCATTCACAGGCGGGGGTGTAGCTTAGTGGTAGACACTTGCCTAGCATGTATAAAACCCCAGGTTTATTACCAGAACCCACAGAAGCAAACCAAACCCAAATGATAAAGCAATTCACAGATACTAAGTGACATGAACAAGTACTCCAGGCGAGGTCTTTGGCTCCCCAACACACACAGCTCCCCCCCCCCCCCCCCACAGAGCATGTGTGCAGCAGCTGCAGTTCAGTACCTTCTTACAGCCAAACGCGAGGAGGTCCGAGTCCTCTGTGATGACGGCCTGCACAATTCCTGCTTTGTTAAGATAGGCCAGCTGAGCATCAGCTTCATAGGGAGCCACCAGGCAGTCCACTCCCAGGGCCCGAGCAGCCTGTGAGAGACCACAGTGACCTTGCTGCACAGCACCAGAAGGGCACGGGGTCACCAGCCACCACACACATGTCCATAATACTTTCTAGAACCCACGTCCTTTGAAGCAGAATCGTTCTCCTTTTAGTTGTAATACATTATACACTGCCTTGTTTTAATGAACTTATATAGGCTTGGCTAACAGCTCACTGGCCACATAATTCTGAAGACCTTAGTTCTGATCCATAAGGAGATGAGTGCAGTAGAGCCTGTATGTGACCCCAGCACCACTACAGCAGAACGGAAGGCGAGACAAGAATCCGTGGAAGTTGGCGGGTGGCAGGAACTGATAAATAGCAGAGACCCTGCCTCGGGTGAGGTTGGAAAGGGAGGACCAACAATCAATGCTGACCTGACCGCCCTATTCAGTCTGTGCTATGTGCATGCATGCACATACATACACTGGGAAAAAAAAATCAATTTATAAATTTGAAGAAATTCTGCTATATATTTGGTAGTAGTGGTAAATCTAAGTTACTATATTCATTATTTCAAACTACATAAAGTTTCTACCTTAAAAATTGTTATGCTCAGAAAGTAAACAGGACACTTGTTTGAACCTGTCCAAGCAACTTTCCCTCTAAAGACTTCAGACTGCTTTGTCAGGCGAAAGGCCTGTCTAACACAGTCCTGGTAAATTCCAGACCCTAATCGCTGCAGCTACATCATGGGAAATACATCCTCCCGCCTTTCTCCTTTCGCCCTTGCCTACCAAGTGTTCCCATGACACCAGCACTTGTGTCCAATCGCGATTTCTCCTCTGCTGCACACGGAAATCTCTTCAGGGGCAACAGAGAGCACGTGGCTTCTGTATACCTCACTCTGGCCTATATCCCCCTTGCTTTCCGATCAAGCCATGACCAACAACCAAAAGAAATGTCTACACGACAAGGAACCACAAGATAAGCCTCAGGGCGCTTATTTTAGCTCAGAACCAGGTGATAGGACAGCAGGGTACACAGAGCTGACCCCGACTTTATTCTAACTTTAAGAAGCAATCTCAATATAAACCTAGGACGAGGAAAGTGGGGATTGAGACTAAGATCTGGGTGAGGGTGCTTAGAACCTTCACAGCAGGGGCAGACTTGGGGGTTCTGCAGAGCCCCTCAATCGAGTCAGTGGGAAACCTCTCTGGCCATCATTCAGAAAAGAATGTGAGTTGATGGTTAAACACAGATTTGACCACAGTGGGGTAAGAAACAAGCCCGCAGGAATCCGCCCCTTGCATCTCTGCACACAACACCCCAACGCCGAGCATGTGCTCAATGGCTTTGCTGGTTCTTATTGACTCACTTTTATTACTTTGTGGGCCATGGCGTGTGTGATGTTGACAGAGCGGGTGAAGCAGTCTCGGGCTTCTGACACCTTGCCCTCTCGAAGGAGCTGCTTTCCTCTAAGAAGGTTGCTTTGTCGTCTCCTGAAGGGAAAAGATGTGATGGAATATAAATACAAGCGGACTCAAGAAGCAACAGGAAAACTGCAATTATAGGGATTTTCTAGAATGAAAGAGCTGAATTCACTTAAAGCTGCACAACAGATCCGCTGGCATATCAGCCCGGGCAGCTCAGGCTAGCCTCGCACTCACCAAGGAGATGACCCAGGCCTCTGGACCCTACTGTCTCTGCCTCCCATGTGCTGGGACTACAGGCAGCAGCATCTCTGCAGCTGAGCAAGTGACTGATGATGTGTGCAGCCGACTGACGGCAGACTGTACCACAGCAATGTTTCACGTCAAAAGGTAATTCTTTTTAAACGTGACAACAACCTAACACCAACAGACCATTTAAGGGAACGTGCTCACATACTACGCTGTACAAGAAATCAAGATTTTAGAAATTTGCTATCACATGTCCTGAAGCATCTAGCCTTAACACAGCTAAGCCGGATGCTAAGTATGGAGTCAACTTACTCTCGCCGAGATCTCTCCACTTCCTTTTTAGAAGGTAAGGTACATCCATCAAAGACAAGAATGGGCTTGACCCCATGGGACAGCAGCATATTAACAAACTTCATACAAAATCCTACATACCTATAAGATGGAAAAAGAAAATGGAAAATGCATTTACATGCTTGGACTCTCTTAAAATTTTTTTTTCCTTTTTTAAAACCAGATGACAGGAGCCAGGCGGTGGTGGTGCTTGCCTTTAATCCCAGCACTTGGAAGGCATTCATTGGGGGATTGAATGATTTTTTTTTTTTTAAGTTTTTGAGACAGGGTTTCTCTGAAGCTTTGGAGCCTGTCCTGGAACTAGCTCTATAGACCAGGTTGGCCTTGAACTCACAGAGATTTGTTTGCCTCTCTTGCCTCCTGAGTGCTGGGATTAAAGGCGTGTGTCACCACTGCTCAGCTAGAATGACCCTCTCAAGCGGTTGCCTAAAAGTATCAGATGGAACAGGAACAGATATTTACAATTCGTAACAGTAGCAAAATTACAGTTAAGAAGTAGCAATGAAAATAATCTTATGGTTGGGGTCACCATAACATGAAGAACTGTATTAAAGGCTGCAGCATTGGGAAGGCCGAGAAACGCTGCCTTAGGACTGTCCCAATTGTAAATTAAAAGCCTTTGACGTCTTCCAATTTTCATATTTCACTGCTACTCCAAATATCTTATGTTTCTATTTAAAGACTGATTTGAAACATCTCAAATCTATTGCAAACTTTTAAGAATACAATACTTGATTTCTCCCGCAGTACCTTATCATACCCAGGAGACAGTATTATCTACAATGCACCCGACATGAAATTTCACCCACGAGTGCCAACAATGTCTCTCAGGACTGGTGATATTTTAGTACATGTTGAACCACACAGTGCCCAGGGTGTCTGATTTCCACACACTCCACAGCAACACAGAAGCTCTGCCACCTCGCAGCCAGGATGCTGAGGGAGGATCCCAGCAAACAGTGTCATTACTGTCCCCACATCCAAAACCCAACGAGACTTAAGCTAAGCTTTCGAATCAAATGTAGTGGCTTCTGTGACCACTTGCTGTATTCTTTGCTGTGGACGGTGACAAGGGCACCGCACAGGTGACAACAGTGGTGGCAGCTCTATTCAAGATCGAAGAGCAGATGAAAGCAAAGAAGGAATAGTGATGTTTTACAGCGAATTCTCATCTCTTCCTGACTAGAAAGCACAAAGCATCAGGTAGCACCCACTCATTTTACTTCCAAGTCAGCATGTGCTGACGTCAACATGCTGACATCAATCTCTACAATGAATTAGCTGATCGTCAAATTCCAAAGTAGTGACCATTTCTGGCTAATACTGCTCTCCCAGGAAGGAAGAAAAAGTAAAGCAGTTAACTATACCAAATATGACTTCTAAGTTGTCAGGGGAAATTTTAAATCCAAAGCAGATATTAAGCATTTTAGTTTCATCGATATTTAATGAATGTCCATCATAGAGTGGGCCCTGTAGATTTCATCTCTAACTTTTCATTTTTAAAAAAGATTTATTTATTTATTATGTATATAATATTTGTCTGCATATACGCCTGTATGCCAGAAGAGAACACCAGATCTCATTATAGATGCCTGTGAATCATATCATGTGGGTGCTGTGAACTGAACTTAGGACCTCTGGAAGAGCAGCCAGTACTCTTAACCACTAAGCTACCTCTCCAGTCCCTCACTTTTCTAATAATAAAGGATATTGCCTGTATTTTAAAAATTCTCTCAATTAATCAAAAATTTGAATCAAAGGCTGGAGAGATGGCTAAATCATCAAAACTGCTGGCTGCTCTTCCACTGACTGCTCCTCCTGGGTTCAATTCCCAGCATCCACAACTGCCTATAACTCTAGCTTCAAGGGATCCGATGCTATCTTCTGGTCTCCTTGGGTACCAAACACACAAGTGGTACACAAATATACAGGAAAATAACACAATACACATTTTTAAAAAAAAAGGTATCTAAAACTATAAACTAAGTTTTCTTGTAAGGAACAATTCAAAGAATGCCAGTTGTGGTAGTTTGAATATGCATAGCTCTCATGGCTCGTATATTTGAATACACAGTTCCCCAGTTTGTAGAACTATTTGGGAAGGATTGGGAGATAAGGCCTTGTTGGAGAGGTATGTCACTGGGAGTGGGCTTTAAGATTTAACAGCCCACACCACACCATTCTGTTAGCCTTCTCTGCCTCACGCTTGTGGTTTCAAACTTAAGCTCTCAGCTACTGCTCAGCACCATGCCTCCCCCCTGCCTGCCTGCGGCCATGCTCCTCATCATGATGACCATGGACTCTAACCCTCTGAAATAGGTTGCCTTGGTCATGGTGTTTTATTACAACAGAAAAGGAAGTGAGAAACCAGGGCCAGGGGCACAGTGCCATAAACCCAGCATTGGGAAGCTGAAGTGGGAGTGAAGAATTCAGGATCATCCTGGGCTATAAGGGAAGGTTAAGGCCCACCTGGGATACGTAAGACCCTGTCTCAAAAAATACAAAAAGAAAAAAAAAACCCACAAAAATCAAACACAGAAAGTAGTAATAAAGTGCGGGTTTTTCTTTTTGAAAAGCTAAAATGGTACAGCTTTATTTTCAGAAATTAAAAAGCAATTATACACGCATACATGCAAAAAAGGGTGTATGTGAAAAACAGCATAGTTTTATATATGAACACATGTGAACCTGCCCTATGTGAGGTCAGAGTTCAGACTGATGACAACAGGACCCACCATTTTTGGACAGAACATAGTATCCCTTTCCTTCATTTTGCTAATGGAGATTAGCAGTGTGTTATGAGAAGACATCATGGATTCTGAAAACATTATTTAAAAAGTTTACATTGGGGGAAAAACAAAGGCTTCTCTCAAGCAAAGAATAAAAGAGGTAACCTTTGATTTTTGCCTGTGCATCTCATGCTACTCTGACCTCTTGCCAAGAATAAAAGTCAGGTCTGTAGCACAGAAGGAAGTCTGGCAATATTCTAAATACACATCCTTAATAAATGCTAGTATTTATTAAAACAATGACCAGAAAAACAAAACAAGCAAATAAACAAAAAGCACCAAGATGCCAGAACATTTCATAGTGTGCTTGCTTAGCATGCATGATGCCCTGGGTTCGTTCCCTAATTACATGAAACTGGGAGTTGGTGGTGCATGCCTGTAATCCCAGCACATGGTAGGACTCCTCCTCCAGGAAGGAGGAGCATCCTTGGCTATAACAAGTTCCAGGCCAGTCTGACATACCTGAAGATTGTGTCAAAAACAAAAAGCACCAAATCATTCTACGTCCTAAAGAAACTAATACACACTCCAAACTTACCTATCTGTAGGTTCCCCTTTGGCTAGCTTTTCAGCACAAGCAATAGCTCCTTTGTGGAGCCAACAGTAGGTATCCACAGCTACTGCCTGCCCTTTGTACTTCTTCACATTGACGGGCTCCGAAGCTTCCTTGATGAACTGAAGCAGTCCCTGAATCCCCATGGTGTCAAGTTAACTACACGGAACCAAGGAAAAGGGAAGACAACAAAATTACAGCAAGACCTGTTTACTAACAAGTCTTAGAAAAATAAACCCAGCCTGGAGCCTAGCACAGAAACTAAGAGCTGATAACTGGCCTTCTCCCTGCCAACTTCAGTAGCTCAGAATTTCATTCATCACCAACACTAACTTGAACACCTCTGGGTGGTTCCTTGGTGGTTAGTCTTTTCAAAACGCTTTCATACTTAGAATCCTAACATGGGCTCTCATCTCTTAACACAGTCCTGGGCTCACAAAAGTCATTAAAACTTTTAAATCTCTCTCAAAAAGATAGCATTGAAAGCCTACAAAACTGTGCATGTTATGGTATTATATTCAGTACTACAAAAAGGCATTAAAGGGTCACATCCAAAGCTGCCATGTAGAAACTCAAAAGTTAGGAGGAAGACAGACATTCCAAGTGAAAAGTAATCAGAATTATGGAAACGGAGCTGTGCACCAATCCAATACCATCAGAATGCATTACTCCAAACAATATTAAGCAATAAGTAATAAGCCTTGGTGGAGTCTAGGGACCATTTCATCAGACTCACTGAAGGCTGTACTCAAGCAACGTGAAAACATGTCGGCTGCACAAAAACAGCTTCAAGAAAAACACTTTTAATTTCCCCTCCTTGCTGGCCCCTTACAATAGAAATCCCGGGGCTGCTGGCTGTTTCAAAGCAACCAGTCCTCCCCACTGCAATCCCAGCACTTTCTCGGCACTTCCCAGTACAAGTACCACGTTTTTATTTGTGTTGGGGGTGTGTCTGTGCACGTGCAATAACTGTGTAGGTACAAGCACTCAGAGGCCAGAGCAAGGCATAGGGTACCCTCCTCTATTTCTCTTTACCTATTACCTTGAGGCAGGGTATGTTACTGAACCAGCTAGGCCCAATGAGTTCTCGGGATCCATCATCTCTGCCTCCCGATGCTGGGGTCACTGGCATTCACAGCCCCTAGGAGTTTTAATAGGGGTTCTGGGGACTCTAACTCGGGACTTCATGTTTGTAAAAGTAAGTGCTCTTACCCACTCTCAAAATTTTTTTCTTACATGTATCATGCATGCGTGTTGGAGTTTCAATGGGAGCAAAAGGACACCGGTTCACCTTGTCTCAGACAGTCTTTTGGTTGTTCGAGCTGCATATGCAGCCTCGTTGGGACTTTAGTTGAGCTTCCTGGGATTCTCCGTTCGTAAGCCACCCCCACCCTCAGCACTGGATGACAGGGACAGGCACGCGGCTCACCAGGCACAAGATCATATTCTTACTACAGGATAAGAAGTCAGCGGTGCCAGTTGACACCATAGGAAAACAGCAAGGCTCTTGTCTAGAATTCAGAGGTTCTTAGACCTTTCAAGCCACGCCCAGCAACTATGATTTCCTAGAGGGGGCATGACTTCTGGATTTTAAACATCAGGCAATTTGGATGCAGGTGGACCTTCAGCCACGATTTGAGTAAAACAATGAGTCCACTACCTTTGAAGACAATGTCTCTAAAATGTGTGTTCGTGCACGCTGAGTGGGAAAAAAAGGGCATAATTACATTTCATGAAATTTCGGTTTCTTCTAGGCTAAGTATATCTCGAGTAAATATTTCCTCGTTAGCACAGGAACGACGGAGCGCCATATAGCACACGAACCCCAGGAGATCGCCCGTGGCACCCGAGCTGACAGCAGCCGCGGCTTCACCGAAGTCCTGTCTCCCAGGAATGAACAGGCATGGTCCGCAAAGCCATTCCAGGCGCTGCGGTTCCTCAAACCTGCATAAGAAACATATAGAAAGGAAACTCCTAGACGTGAGGTCACTCATCAGCCTGCATGTGCGGTAAAACCCGAGACTTGGCCGTCAAGTTGGTCGCCTACCAGCGCCTGAGGCACGCTCCACGCTTGCCTTCTCTGCCCGGAGACCCGGATCTCGTGCCGAGGAGAGAGAGGACGCCGGGATGGAGCTGCGGGGACCTCACTTTCCTCCACACAGGAGGCCGCCCGCCGAAGGGATCACTCACCGGGGTGCAGAACACTAGCAAGCCGCGGCTGCCGCGATCGCAGCCGGGGACCTTTCAATTTGCGCGGGATCGCGAGGCCCCGCCCAGCGGACATGACGTCACGCGTATGCTGTGCCGCGATCTCCGCCTCCTACTCTCCGGGACCCCGCCTTCCTCTCATCTGGGTCTTGAGTCTTTCCTCGCAGAGGAGGGAGTCCGCTTCAAATGGTCGACGGCAGTCTGAACAAGGTGAAGCTGGACCCAGTAGGGACTGCTTGTCTATGGGCGGGACGAGGGCGGGTAAAGGAGACCGGCGCCCCGGAAGTGCGTTCTTGTTCTTGCCGGTGCTGCTGGGAGTTGTAGTTCTCGCGGGAGCACGCCTTTGGAGTCACGTACAGGCGCTTTAAAGAACGTCCAACTTGGGGTCAACGTTGCTTTCTTGTTTTAAACCTGAAAAAGAACCCAGCTGGAATTAGTCGCTTAGTCTTAGGCCAACCCCACCATCTGTCGTCTCTCTGAGACGTCCTCACCTTTGTGCAAATTGAAGTTGAGTTTATTTCAAGGCTTTCGTGTTGCTGCAGTATGACTACTATCTGCCCTTACCTACTTTATCCAGTATCTGTCTTTATCCCTGACACGGGCTGGAAAAATGTTATCTTTATAACTGAACAATGGACCTTATCGTTCACAGGCGTTAAAGACTTGCTGCATTTTGGTGGCTGTCCTGGGCCACATTTCCTAATGTTATCAAGGAAAGCAAACCCCTGTAAGCCTCCGTTCCTCTTAATTGGCTTTAAAGCTCACTGATTTTAGAAGTCACACAGCTGGACCTTGGATCGTTCATAATTTAGTCTCCCACTGGCTTTGCCGTAGCAGACAACCCTGAGTGAATCCATCTAATATTGGGGAGCATGTCCTTTGGAGAAAGTTTTTCTCTTACTTGCCATTCAAGTAAGGTACTGTTTGTAACCCTCCATACTCTCTGGGGGAACAGAGGACTTTAATATCCTAACAATTAAGGGTAGAATTAACTACTCCTGGGGAAAGGAACTCAAAAGACACTGAGATTTTCTGTTGGGTTACATTTTGTTTGTTTATTTTCTTGTTTTTGTTTTTCGAGACAGGATTCCTCTGTGTAACAGCCCTGGCTGTCCTGGAACTCACTTTGTAGACCAGGCTGGCTTCAAACTCACAGAGATCCACTAGCCTCTGGTTTACATTTCTTTATAGACTTACAGAACCCCAAACACCCATTAATATACAAATAGGTAGCAGCAACTTGTACACAGTTAAAACAGACCACTGAAGATTTGTAACTACCGGGGTGCCCCTGCTCTATACCCTCCCACAAGTCCCTAGATAAACAGTTGTGTCTGCAGCCCCAGGGAAGCTGGTCTTTGCTGGGGAGCTACTCCATCTTTGGTTTGCTAGCTTTCCAAGTGAACCTTTTTTCTTAACCAAATAACTTACTTTAAGTCACTGGACTTTCTGAACGGAGCAATGGGCGAGTTTACACTCATAGGAAATTCCCAGATCTGGCTAATGTTCTCTTTCCTTTGAAATGCTGTGGTAATATACAGCCCCCCCCACACACACACCCTGTGTATGTACGTGTGTATGTGCGTGCGCAGTGTACATGCATATGTATGGTAAAACTAGATGGAAGTCCACTTTGGGTAGGCAGAGATTAACATTAATACACTAAGTGCATCCTTCCATCCCCCCCCCCCCTTTTTTTTTTTTGGACAGGTACCAACTGTGGAGCTGCAGCAAGAGGTGGCTTCTAGTGCTACACTTTGGTGGGTGCCTCAGGTAGCAGGATGCCTGTCATAGCTCTTGTGTAGGCCTAGGAAGCTGGGATTCCTTGGGCCTTCGCAGCAGCTGGTTTTGCAGCTTGCAGGCAGACACAATATTGGTAGTTCTCAGCCCTTGATAGCAGCAAAACAACACGAGTAGGTTCTCCTTTAGAGTCTTAAGCCTTCCCGGGCATGGGATTTTGACCAGATTTATAGTATCAGGAGTGAATCTCTTCTGGGGAGCAGGCCTCAAACCTATTCAGAGTGCAGGTGGTTACCCCTACAACAGCTATGCCACTACTGCACTAGGGGGCACATTTCACTTGGCAGTTCGGTATTTTAGGAAGGAAGCAGGGTCCAGCACTGGGTGCCACCACTGAGAGTGTTTCTCCAGCAGGCTACACAGCACCTTCTGTGCTGTGAAAGTCAGCCATCATGGAGGTTTTCTGGTCAGTTCTAGATTGATTTGTCTATCTATATCCTGCAACCAAAGTGTGTAGTGTCTTTCGCAATAGGGTCTTCCCATCTAGTTATGGTGGACAGCCAAGCATTGTTCTCTGCTTCATAATTGTGGGTGCAGTTTGCTTAGCGTGTCAAGCTCATACTGCTGTGCCTTCCCCCACCATAATGGACTGTAGCCTCAAACTTTGAAATAGAATAAACCTTTCTTCCTTAAGTTGCGTTGATTGATTGGAAAATTTTATAAGAGCAGTAGGAACTAAGACATAAGCTCTTAAATTTCAGCAGAGATATACAGACTATACTTTTTTCCCAGCTTGAGACGCAGTTCTGATAGTTCTCATTTCCTGACATCTTCTTTGAATTGGATGTTAGTTTGACAGCACCCAAACTTCCTGAGGTGACTCTACCTTGACACATATCACTTCCCATCCTGATTGATTTTGTCTCTGTATATTCTAAAAAAAATATACAGAGCATAATTTGTAGACTTCTGTGATCTAAATAGCAAGCAAGCAAAACAATAACAATACATTTGATACAATTTTGTGAAGAGAAAAAAGTATAATTATGTTTAACATCAATTGTAATTTGACTTATGTAAATTTCAAAATGTGTATTTAAAATATGAATATTTTATGAGTCATAGAAGCAAAAGGATAGTATTGAATGTGTTAAGAAGCCTGCATATGTGCGTGCATGGAGGAGGAAAAAAATGGGAATCAAGAATGGAGATATTGGGCCAAGAGAAATGGAACAGTTTAAAACTGGCTGCTTTTCCAGAGGGCCTCGGTTAAGTTCCCAGAATCCACGTGATGGCTCACAACTGTCTGTAACTTCAGTTCCAGGAGATCTGATGCCTTTTCTATCCCATGAGACACCAGGCATCCACGAGGTGTATAGACATGCATCCAGGCAAACTATTCATACACACAAAATAATACTTCTAAAAAATCAGGATATCCTAGGGCTGAAGAAATGTCTCCGTAGTTGAGAAGAGGGTGTGCTGTTTTTCCCCAGGACCTGCGTTCAGTTCTAGTGCCAACAGTAAGTGGCTCACAACCACATATAACTCCAGCTCCAGGAGAGCCAACTCTCCTGGCCTCTGTGGACACCACACTTCCATGCATGCATCTGAGTGCAAGCACACATGCACACACACACACACACACACACACACACACACACTCACACACTCACACAATTAAAAATAAGGTTATTTTATAAAGCAAGACATTCCCACACAGGCACTAGCACTGAGGAGGCAGAGGCAGCAACAGCACGAGTTTGGGTAACCCTGACTACATAGTGAGACCTCATTCAGAAAAAGAGGTCTTAACAACTTATGGGGGAAAAAATGGACAAAGAATCCAAAGAGTGATCTACAAAGTAAAAGGAAATAAGGAGCAAACCCACATCTCTACTTCTCAGTATCAACTTAGGCCAACTTCCTTTTTTTCTTATTAGCTTTTTTTTTTTGATTGATATTTATTGAGCTCTTCATTTTTCTCTGCTCCCCTTCCTGTCTCTCCCCTCCCCCTTTCAGCCATCCCCTAAGGTCCCCATGCTCCCAATTTACTCAGGAGATCTTGTCTTTTTATACTTTCTACTTCCCATGTAGATTAGATCTATGTAAGTCCCTCTTAGTGTCCTCATTGTTGTCTAAGTTCTCTGGGATTGTGGTTTGTAGGCTGGCTTTCTTTGTTTTATGTTTAAAAACCACCTATGAGTGAGTACATGTGATAATTGTCTTTCTGTGTCTGGGTTACCTCACTCAAAATAATGTTTTCTAGCTCCACCCATTTTCCTGCAAAATTCAAGCTGTCGTTATTTTTTTTTTTTTGCTGTGTAGTACTCCATTGTGTAAATGTACCACATTTTCCTTATCCATTCTTCAATTGAGGGGCATTTAGGTTGTTTCCAGGTTCTGGCTATGACAAACAAAGCTGCTGTGAACATAGTTGAGCACATGTCCTTGTGGCACAATTGAGAATCCTTTGGATATATACCCAAAAGATTATATATCCAATGGTCTTGGATTATGCTGGGTCTTGAGGAAGGTTGTTTCCTAATTTTCTGAGAAATCGCCACACTGACATCCAAAGGGGTTGTACCAGGTTGCATTCCCCTCAGCAATGCAGAAGTGTTCCCTTTTCCCCACAACCTCTCCAGCATAAGTTGTCATCAGTGTTTTTGATCTTGGCCATTTTTTCAGGTGTAAGATGAAATCTCAGATTTGTTTTGATTTGCATTTCTCTGATGACTAAGGATGTTGAACATTTCCTTAAGTGTCTTTCAGCCATTTTAGATTCCTCTGTTGAGAGTTCTCTGTTTAAGTCTGTACTCCATTTTTTTTTATTGGATTATGTGATCTTTTGGTGTCCAATTTCTTGAATTCTTTGTATATTTTGGAGATCAGATCTCTGTCTGATGTGGGGTTAGTGACGATCTTTTCCCATTTTGTAGGCTGTCGTTTTGTCTTGTTGACCATGTCCTTTGCTTTATCAAAGCTTTTCAGTTTCAGGAGGTCCCATTTATTGTTTCTCTCAGGGTCTGTGCTGCAGGGGTTCTATTTAGGAAGTGGTTCCCCATGCCAATGCGTTCAAGTGTACTTCCCACTTTCTCTTCTATAAGGTTCAGTGTGGCTGGCTTTACGTTGAGGTCTTTGATTCATTTGGACTTGAATTTTGTGCATGGCGATAGATATGGGTCTATTTTCATTCTTCTACATGTTGATATCCAGTTATGCCAGCACCATTTGTTAAACATATTTTCTTTTTTTTCCATTTGATTTTTTTTCTTCCTTCTCAAAGATCAAGTGTTTGAAGATGTGTGGATTGATATCCAGGTC